ATGAGCTTGTTCAGGAAGGAGAGAGATTTGGTATGCTTTTTGGCTGGTTTGAAATCATTAAGGATTGCAAAGAGTCAACCTTCTTCATTGCTAGTCAAACTAGTTTGGGCTTGAAAGACAAAATTAGTTTCTTTCTTTGAAATCCATATTTGTAATTTCTGTGGAAAAGGCCTTCTGTTCATAATTCTTTCAAGAATCAGTAATAACACAACTAAATACAGATGGTTTAGGCTGGTAATATCTAAGTTTAATTTGCAAAAGCAAATAACCTCACCATGAGGTGTGAACTTTAGAGGGGTCATGTGGAATTATCTTTGGAGTTCCCCAGTTGGTCCAGAATCTATTATTCTGCTGGCATGCACATCTTTTATTTGTAGTAATTGCAGTTCCTCCAAGTGATAAACTATGTCAGTGTCAGTGATGAATGATAATTGAGGATTTGATCTCTCGTTATGCCCAAAAATCCATCTTAAAGAAACGTTAAATTTACAAGAAAACTTCACGTTTTAAAATAACTGTACATTCCTAGTTCAGCTGTTGCCTGTTTATGTCATGCTCTCTCTTGATGGCAACACGTCCTATTTTTACACTAGAGTTACAGGTTTACACAGAGCAAAGGATGTCCTCCTACAGAATCATTCTGAATAATATTTTGCACTTTATAAAACTGATCAGATTGCAAAAGTTGAAAGAGGCAGAATATTGCTGGAAGAGAAAGAAAGATCTCAAGATCAAGTCAGAAAGTGCCCTGTAAAAAATTGATTTTACACTAGTCCTCCTTCTGCTTGGCAAGTCACTTTTAAACAGATTTTCAAAGTTAGGGAGGGAATTTTGTGTTCTTTATTTTCAAGTAATCACAATGTTTTTGGACCTAGACTTAAAAAAATGCTAAGCACTGCAGCTCTAACTGGAGTCCGTATTTTTACCATGTAAAATATAAAAAAGAGTGTGCATCCAGAATTAATGGTATTTTGATGGTTTTGGCTTTCTTCCATCAAAAGAGGGAATGGTAAATCTTACTCACAGAAGGGGTGTGAGATAAATTCATTGGCATTTGTAAAGTTCTGAGGTGCTATCATGATATTGAAAAACTTAGGAGGAGCCCATAATAATCCAATGTTTAAATGGCCTGCATATTAAATATGGGCTAGGGAAACTCAGTTGTGTGCCACATGGGAGAGAGCAGAGAAACAAATATTGAATTACCTGTGGGAATTTAATCAGTACCTTGAGTGTTTTTGGTCATATACTAAAGCATTTACTGCAAGACCAGTGTATACACCAAAACATCCTGTCTGTATCTTTTGCCTGTTTTGATTTTACAGGTGCTCAGTTGAGCACATGTTTCAGCTCATTATTAAGCATAAGATACTTTTAAATGCCAATTTAGTTGTACTAAAATCAACCTATGAACAGATTCATAATCTTAAATAAATAAATATTGAATCCCTAGATCATTTGATTTAAAGTAAATGTCTAAACTGTTTCCTATTTCTAGTTAGCTATAAGCATTTTATAGTGCTGGTTGATCACCACGTTGCCAGGAGATGAGCAGAGAGAAGCAACTGGTTAACAGCCGGTTACATCTGGTCACAGCTGGGAAAGCACAGCAATAGAATAAACAATTCAGTTTTCAACAGCTGCATTTGCGGTTACAGTCTACTGAATCAAATAAGTGCAGTTTTCCAAGTATAATTTGTGAGCTAGAAACATAATTTATCTTTAGAAACATTTAGAAGTAAAAAGAAAAAAAATTATCCTTATTTTACCATTTTTACCATTCTTACTGTTGTTATTTTTAATTTCCATCTTTGTTTTAACCATTGAAAACATCTACTAATAGATGTTAAGCATGTTGACAACATGCTTAAACATTTTAATTCTCTTCTGTGTTTTGCACCTTGATGAACTTGTCTCTGTGTCAGTTTCCAGAGATTCCATGCTCTCCTGTCTCACTTCTAGGAACACTTGAATGCTGCTAGATATTTCCTGATATACATCAAGGACCTTGCTAAAGGTTTTTATTGTCCCTGGAAAGTCATCAGATACAATATTGATGGGTAACAGTAGAACACTTAATTGAAGAACTAATTTGGAATGTAGTTAAGTAATGGATTGCCTGAATATGCTCCTGAAAGCCGCCCAGAGAACAGGAGATGGTCATACTGTTTGAAGACGTCATGCCTGGGGCCAAAAATGTTTGTATGATTTCTCCATCAATATGTCAGCATTTTCAGATGCTGAGACTAAAAAAAGTTATGTTAACCCAGCATATTATAATACTTCTGAGACTAGTTGCTGGTTCAGAATCTCAGGGGAAGTTAGTCTGCAAAGAGTGGTGTATCTAAGGCAGAAAGTTCATGACAGGTAAAAGAGAGGGATTGTTTTACTCCTGTGCTGGTGATAAATGGTTAGAAAAGATGCTCATCACAATCTGGCATCTAAATTTACTCACTTATTCTGAGCTGATTTGAAAGCTCTATATGTCAGAGTATGTGCTGGACAAGTACAGTAAGTCTTAAAAAAGCAATGATTGGTACTTGGGTTATTCACAGGATTGATGTCATATCCATGAATAGGTACAGCTATGAGTATTCATGCTGACAGAGTCAGAGACATCCTAAGGGCAGGTTGTAGGTTGAAAGATGTCAGCTGGGGAGCAAGGGCATAAATAGCTGTTTTTTGTTAGTGTAGTGGGTTGACCTTGGCTGGACACCAGGTGCCCACCAAGCTGCTCTATCACTCCCCTTCCCAGCCAGACAGGGGAGAGAGAAGAAGATGGAAAATGACTCATGGGTTGAGATAAGGCAGTTTGCCAGAGCAAAGGCGAAAGTTTGCATGTGCAAAAGCAAAGAGGAAAATAACAAGGTTTATTCTCTACTCCCTATCAGCAGTGATATCTGGCCATGTCCCAGGAAACAGGGCTTCAGCACACATAGTGGTTTCTCAACAGGCAGCAACTGTGAACAAGGAATGTTCCCCCTTTCCTCCTCCTTTCCTTAGCTTTTATATCTGAGCTGATGTATGGTATGGAATATCCTTTTGGTTAGTTTGGGTCAGCTGGCCTACTTGTGTCCACTCACAAGATCTTGCCCTCAACTGGGCAAGTAATGTTACAGTACCGATGCTGTGCCAGCACTGCTCAGCAATAGCCCAAACGGTGGTGCGTTATCAACACCTTTCTTGCTCTCAGTGCAAAGCACAGCACTGTGAGGGCTGCTGTGGGGAAATGAACTCCATCTCAGCCAGACCCAACACAGTTAGCAACAGTAAATTTTCAGGACAGCCTGTGCCTAGCCAGTCCTGTTCGCGACTTACTGGATGAACCCTGGATGACCTGCACTGTAGTTTTCTCTGTCTCCAGTGCAGTCTTGGGTCCTGCCTCTTGCTATTCCTGACTGGATGGACCCCAAGCATGACTTATTTCCTCACTATGCCTGGGACTGCTGATGGGACCAGTTACCGACCAACCTGGTCTAGTTCAGACACTGTGGGACTGTGCCCTGGTCGGGATGGTCACTGCCCTGCCTGTACTGTGATCACTGCCGGCTCCTGGCTCATCTCCCTTGTGCACCCGTCCTGCTCTTGCTGCTACCTGACAGGCTGCGTCCAGTAGAATCCATCATCTGGATTATTTTTAATAACATTTGGTTTATAGTTTGAAATAACCAGCTGGTAGATACATCACAGGTACTAAAGGCTGAGATAATTTGTGCTAATAGTCATTTTTTCTGTTCTCAAAGATTGTGGAAGTCCTAGATGTAGCCCACAACCTGACCAAAATAGGTTCTGTAGGACCGATAGAATGAAACACAAACTCTCTTCTAGCCAATTTGAACTATAAATATAAACAAAAGACAAGAAATCCTAAATTGCAAGTGATCAATGGACTTGCAACTCAACGAGCATCTTAATTACAAGATGATATTTAGGATGAACTGTACACCCTGGGAAAACATTGATTTGTTAGAGAGATATAGTGTCCCAGAGTATCACTGAGCTTAGTTAAGGGCTCTTGTACTTCTCACAGTGCAGCTCAAACTGAACTTGCAGAATTTATTGTGGAATCGAACCAGAGTTACAAGAGCACCGCCTCAGTCTTTACAGCCATGACAGTCTGTATTATCTACCTGTCTTGGAAAATAGTAGGCTGTGAACAACAAAAAGAACCATAAGACCACATGTATAGCGGATTGTTAAATCAGGGCATATCAAGTTTAGGTGAGATTTTGGCAGATCAAAAACCCTTTCAGGTTACCTTTTGATCCACATACCACTGTAGCTGCAGTTGCTGTTATGTAGTGCCTTTCCCTGCACTACATAAAAAGCTATTTCTGAAGTAGACAGGCTGTAGACAAAAGTTTGTCTAAGTTACCAAAGAGCCTTAGCAGTTTCTTCAACCTGTTCTTATCTCCTGAGTAAATAAAAACAGCCTAATTATATATTGACTTGGGAGACTAAAAGGCTTTCGTCAAAGTCATTAGTACTACTTGCATAGCTAATTCATATTTTATGGTGTCCAGGACTTTTTACTCACTTTTTCTCATGAAATGAACTGACATTTGGGGTCTGATTTCATAATCTTTTATTTAGGCTATTTTTATTACAGTAACATTTTGTCTGAAAAAGCTCAAGAGGAGTGAGCCCAAGGATATATTGTAAAATTACACGATGCTAAAATTGTTTGAGTGTTCTAACAATTTTTTTCTATTTCCATTTGATGTTAACCAGCACAAAAATTATTTGCACTTGCAAATAAAAAAAGCATACTAATATAAGTGTTAGCATACTTGTCATAATAGTGTATCTTATTCAATAGACCATGCAGAATTTTGCTGATGTTTTGTTTACTTATTCGTCTGAACTTTGGCATGTAAAAAGTGTCATGCCACAGCCAGAAGAGACCATGATTACTTAATTATGATTGTCACATAGCTACATGTATTTTTAAAATAAACAATATTAAAGACAATAATTGAGCCATTTAACTTTACACTCACCTCTATATATGTATGGCTTTGGGTCATAAAGGTCATCAGTCAGATGCCTCAAACCATCCCTTGGTGAGTTCAGATACTAAAATAGCATATTCTTCATCCATTCAATCTTCACTCAACCTAAAGAAATATTGAAGTTTATTATATTGACCTTATAAGCATTTTGATCCAGGAGATCTATACACCAGTACTCCCCTGTGTGTGTGGACTTCAGCTCAGCTAGATTAAAAGAGGGAAGTGGGAACAGTGGTCATGTCTTGAAGCAGCATTTAAATGTGTAATTTTAGCCATCCAAGTTAATAGAGTATGTCCTCATGCTCTTTTCACTGATTACAATATCACTGATAAATCATACACATACTACATACTGTTGCTATTTCTTGGTGTCAGTACCCATGTGCACAGGTATGATGAATGAATGGTAGTGTTTTACCCTGTGAATAAAAGCAAATACAGTGATTGGGGCAGTCACAAGGTATGATCCTACTATATGTGAGTGAAGCATGGCACAGTCTCATACAACTTTTGATGTTCCAAGAAAGCAGACCAATGCAAGAGACATTTCTCAGAGCAGTGTCACTTTAATGATAGCTAAATCTAAGCTCACTGTCATCACACAGCAACTTCTGATATCAAACATTGTAACTACTTAAAGAAGAACGGCCTTTCAGAGAAGAAATTATATTATTAGAAAGCATTCTTTCTGTTTCCATTATCCTGTTGACCACTGTGTTCTTTCTACTCAATGTATAACTTACTGTGCCAGCACTGAACCTGGTCCTGATCCAAACACAGAAGGGTGGAGACTTTTAAATGCCAGCCATCTGTTTGCTCCTTAAAGGAATGTTGGTCAGCTCCTAAAGTCACTGTCAGTGGCAGATAGAGGAATGTGAAGAATGCTTAGAAAAAATCCATAAAATGTATCTCTTGTTTTCTTATCTCTTCTCTTAGACAACAAGAAGGCAGTTACCATCACCCTGTAATTGTCTTTTGGCAAATTGTTTCATTACTATTTCCTGCCAGAGACAAAGAAATTGTTGTTGATCTTCTAGCCTAAATTTCTCCTTTGTATAGCTAAATAAATGTGGTGTAGCCGTGAGAGATACCTTTACAAATGATGAACTACTGTCTGCTGTACTCTTTACCATTATGCTTCTGAGTCTTTCAGAGAAGTTTTTGCTTTTACCAAGAAAATAATTTTGAAAGTGATTATTTGATGTCGTAGGTGTTCATAAAATAATTTGTTTGGGTTTTTTCATAAAATAATTTGTTTGGGTTTTTTCTTCATTGCTGTGGGGGTTTTGAGAGCAGCAAAAAGAGAAAACAGAGAACAAATGAAGGTGTAAGATGCATATAAGCAGAATCCTGGAAGGCAATAGAAATCATGTAAAAGTCTTGTATTCTTACTCCAGGAAAAATCCAAGCCATAGCTTTGCATATCTTCTTAGTGTACTATTCATGCCATTTTCTATGTGCTTATTTTGTCTGTGACGACTTTGAGCAGTAATATCTATTTCCACTATAGTTCTTCACCCTTTTTGAACATAAAACTATAAGTCTGAGGCCAGTCTGAAAAAAAGTTTAGTTGCCTAAACTGTGGGTGAGTTTGGGATTAGAAACATTAGTTCCTAAATGTTTGCTCCCTCAGAGAGCAGAGGAGCTTTGCAGTACCACAATGAAAGCTGTCATTACAGTGTGGAGAAACCAGGTCATCCCGCTGGTAATGCTGTGCATTGCTCTGCAGCAAGTATGGCAGTTCTGCTTATGGAAGAGGCATGCTTCTGTCAGGCTGGTGAACACTGCATATGCTTTTTGGAAGGCAGCAGACACGAAAAAGAGAGTTAGCACTGAAAAAAATGGCTATGTGGGCTTTCAGCTAATGTATCTCGGCACAGTGCCATGTAGCTATGCGGGTTTATTAAATGTAAGAGCTGCTGCTTATGTGTAAATTAGGACTGCCACCTGGCTGGTTTCCAGCTGTCTTGCCTGGTTTTATTCTAAATTTGCTGGCTGCTGTTGGAGCTACTGTACAGATTGGTCTGGACACTCTCAGCAGACATTTCTTTGGAAGATGGCTGGCCTTTTCTGTGTTGAAGATGACTGCAGTTTACCTGTGTTTTAGCAACAAAGAGCCATTGAAGTTACAGGGGTGATTATTCTGAAATTTTGATGGTAGTGATCATCCTGACTAAAAAAAAAAAAGTCATTTAAAATGTAGTAAAAACAGGATAGCTTCATCCAAATAAAGTGATGGTGAAAAGACATACAATCTGTTGCTTTTTATAGCCTTTTCAAATTAGAAGTTAGGTAGATGAATGTAGACAAGAAGTTATAATAGAAATTTTTACACACTCCGTTATAGGCAAACAGAAGCTAGTAGATAGAAGCTTCACTTTCTAAGAATTTTAAAAGTGTCTCCTTGTTACGTCTTTCTTGGCTTTTGTTTTCTGCCAGGCTCTAAAGATGTTCCAATTGATAAACTTCTGGTGCTTAATTCAGTTACTAATAAGGACCATTTTCTCTGGTTTTTAAGAGAAGGTCCTCAGTGCATTTCTAGATCAGTCAACAGCCTTTCTTTCACAGTGGCCAGTAAAAGCCACATAAGACAAGACTGAGAATGCAAGTGCTGGATGTTTTAATTAATTTTGTGTTCAAAGGGTCTGAATAATTATTTTATAATCTCACTCAACTGCCATTTTTAAGGCAGCGTTGACACTTCCAAAGTTCAGAGGAGTGCCTGACTTTGTCCACGCATTTCAAAGACAGCATTTGTATTCTGACTATGCGTAGAAATGTGCGGCTGTGCTACACAATATGAAGCCTAACTGAGGTGTGTTTGGTCAATGGATCTTCTTGGCTGCCTTTTCTTGCATTTGTGAAGTTGTACTATCTTTCTTACAACTTTGAAGCAGTCTTAGCAACCTGTACCAGGCTACAGAAGATTTGCATTCTCCTGTATAGATGAGGAAAAAGGGTGAACTTTAATTCCAAGTAAGTCATCAACCCTTTTTTTCCCCACTTATAATGGTATCCGGATGTTTTACGTCTGCTAGAAACAACTCACTAGCACCTAATACTTACAATATGTGTATACACAGAGAGGTCTTGTTTACATGCCAAATGCTTGCACTCACCCTGCTGTCCGGCATTGGGAATAGAGTTGTGTGGCTGTGAGTGACTTCAGTTTTTTGCAGACATGCAAAATGACTATTCGGATCACCATGGGTATTCCTATGATGGGGGGGAGGAGGCAGGAAAATGGAGATGGGTAGCATGGGCATAATTAAAGGAAAATATGAACTCTCTTTTCCAGATCTGAGTCCTTCTTGCCCCTAAGCACAATACAAGTGTTGAAAAGCCCCACAAACAGAAAAAAAAACACCCTTGTTTTCTGCTTGTCTTAACATTAGGTAAACTGCTGTGATCAGATATCCAACACATCACAAAATACTGCTCTCATTTCAAAAACTTTGGAACAAACAGCAAAGGAAATTTGATGAGACAACCACCTAGCTTTCAGGATGAAGATATTGTGTTTGGATTAGATTTTAAATTAGTAAGTGCTTATTATCATCTTATATCCTAAAAATTTGCACAAAAATAGAGCAATGTAAAGCTATACTGATACAGCATAGATTGTGCATTCTTAACACAGTTTCCTAGTAATTCAGATAACATCACATTTGTCATCTTTACAAAATCTTTCTTTGATGTCCCTGGCATTTGTGTGTGTGGAAAAAAAAATCCTAAAGATGCTAAAGTTTATGAATCATGGTGCCTTTATAGTACCTTCAGGGGTACCAACAGTTCACAATTTGCAATGTATCAGCACCCTCCCAACAATTACAGCTTTTTAAAATTTGTAACATTAAGACAATTTGAAAGCACAAATTCTCTTAAAAGTGTGCACTTACTGTTTATGCCTGTTGAAATTATCTGGAAAGATTATTTTAGCTAATGGATTTTAAATGTTCTACTTCTGAACACTCTTAATATATATGTTGAGTTTTACTCTTCTGTCACTGAAAGTCATGCAATCTAGCTGACCTTCGTCAATTATAAACATTTAACTGCCAGCAGAGCCAGTTTTGCTGGCACCTCATGTCAGATTCCTGAAAACATTTTCAGAACATTTTCAGATACAGGGGATGTCACATTACCTTAGCATGTAGATCAATCTCCTTGCTTGCTGTTCAGCAGCCATCTCCTTCATCTTTTTTCTCTGGGAGAAATGCTTCTTTATGATTTTCTCACAGCTGCATGCAGCTGAATGAGCTTAGTCATGGCAATAGCACTCTGAACCCCAGAGGGGAACCATGTATTAGGATATGACTCTGCTCCATTTCCCATTTAGGACAATGTCAAAATTTCTACTAACCAATATAAAGGGAGAAAAGGATGCAATGTCTTCTGCTTACCTGGCATGATGCTTAAACATGAAAGAGCAATTGTAATTGTATTTCTGGTGTGTCCTGATTAGATTACACATATTTCTGTTCAGATACTCTGCATGCAATCTAATTGTGTAATGAGTATGATTTAGAGCCCCTATTTAAATGTCTAATATTTAAATTTTAAGGTCTTTACTGATGTAGACCATCTAGTCTTTTCTTTTGCTTCAAAACATCACTTAGTTACCTTTCTAATACTTCTACACTTTTCATGTGGTTTTGACATGTGGATTGTGTCAAGGTTTTTAATCTATAGAGAGTACAATGGAAGACTGCTGGGACTTTGGAAAATGAGCAAGGACAGGGAGGAGGCAGAAAACTTTGTCCAGTAGAAGTTTTATTATAGCAGAGTGTTGGGCTATTTTCCAGTGGGAGAGAGATGTAAAAATAGGATGCTATGTGACTCACAGCTAAGGGATCAAATATCCTCCCTAGAATGCAAATACAATGTACAATCAAACTGAAGGAGATATGAACAAACTCAATTGATACTTGATAAGGAAAATGAGAAGTCAAAGAGCTGCATCTTAATGCTAGGAACCCAGATGAACAGCAGAAAGTATTGGAATTTCTAATGTTGAAGCTCTTGGACATGATCAAGGCATTAATTAGAAGGAAAATACAGAATTGCTCAGTATATATATG